TTTGTTTTTTTTTTTTGGGCGAAAAATTAAGTTTCTCCAATCTTCTCAAAACTCTGGATTCTGATAGAGGGCCATGAGACTTAAACCTGAGTGCAAAAATGGAGGCTCTAGACCCTTCCAGAGCTGAGATATCGAAACTCAAAATTTCGACCCGAAAAAAAAACGACAGTGGTACCCCTTTCGTTTTTTTTTTTGGGCGAAAAATTAAGTTTCTCCAATCTTCTCAAAACTCTGGATTCTGATAGAGGGCCATGAGACTTAAACCTGAGTGCAAAAATGGAGGCTCTAGACCCTTCCAGAGCTGAGATATCGAAACTCAAAAATTCGAGCCCGAAAAAAAAACGACAGTGGTACCCCTTTTTTTTTTTTTTTCGGGCGAAAAATAAGTTTCTCCAATCTTCCCAAAACTCTGGATTCTGATAGAGGGCCATGAGACTTAACCTGAGTGCAAAAATGGAGGCTCTAGACCCTTCCAGAGCTGAGATATCGAAACTCAAAAATTTCGACCCGAAAAAAAAAACGACAGTGGTACCCCTTCGTTTTTTTTTTGGGCGAAAAATTAAGTTTCTCCAATCTTCTCAAAACTCTGGATTCTGATAGAGGGCCATGAGACTTAAACCTGAGTGCAAAAATGGAGGCTCTAGACCCTTCCAGAGCTGAGATATCGAAACTCAAAAATTCGACCAAAAAAAAAACGACAGTGGTACCCCTTACGTTTTTTTTTTTTGGCGAAAATTTAAGTTTCTCCAATCTTCTCAAAACTCTGGATTCTGATAGAGGGCCATGAGACTTAAACCTGAGTGCAAAAATGGAGGCTCTAGACCCTTCCAGAGCTGAGATATCGAAACTCAAAAATTTCGACCCGAAAAAAAAACGACAGTGGTACCCCTTACGTTTTTTTTTTGGGCGAAAAATTAAGTTTCTCCAATCTTCTCAAAACTCTGGATTCTGATAGAGGGCCATGAGACTTAGACCTGAGTGCAAAAATGAGGCTCTAGACCCTTCCAGAGCTGAGATATCGAAACTCAAAACTTCGACCGAAAAAAAAAACGACAGTGGTACCCTTACGTTTTTTTTTTTTTGGGCGAAAAATTAAGTTTCTCCAATCTTCTCAAAACTCTGGATTCTGATAGAGGGCCATGAGACTTAAACCTGAGTGCAAAAATGGAGGCTCTAGACCCTTCCAGAGCTGAGATATCGAAACTCAAAATTTCGACCCGAAAAAAAAACGACAGTGGTACCCCTTTTCGTTTTTTTTTTGGGCGAAAAATTAAGTTTCTCCAATCTTCTCAAAACTCTGGATTCTGATAGAGGGCCATGAGACTTAGACCTGAGTGCAAAAATGGAGGCTCTAGACCCTTCCAGAGCTGAGATATCGAAACTCAAAAATTCGACCCAAAAAAAAAAACGACAGTGGTACCCTCCTTTCGTTTTTTTTTGGGCGAAAAATTAAGTTTCTCCAATCTTCTCAAAACTCTGGATTCTGATAGAGGGCCATGAGACTTAAACCTGAGTGCAAAAATGGAGGCTCTAGACCCTTCCAGAGCTGAGATATCGAAACTCAAAAATTCGACCCGAAAAAAAAAACGACAGTGGTACCCCTTTTGTTTTTTTTTTTTGGGCGAAAAATTAAGTTTCTCCAATCTTCTCAAAACTCTGGATTCTGATAGAGGGCCATGAGACTTAAACCTGAGTGCAAAAATGGAGGCTCTAGACCCTTCCAGAGCTGAGATATCGAAACTCAAAATTTCGACCCGAAAAAAAAACGACAGTGGTACCCCTTACGTTTTTTTTTTTGGGCGAAAAATTAAGTTTCTCCAATCTTCTCAAAACTCTGGATTCTGATAGAGGGCCATGAGACTTAGACCTGAGTGCAAAAATGGAGGCTCTAGACCCTTCCAGAGCTGAGATATCGAAACTCAAAATTCGACCCGAAAAAAAAACGACAGTGGTACCCCCTTACGTTTTTTTTTTTGGGCGAAAAATTAAGTTTCTCCAATCTTCCAAAACTCTGGATTCTGATAGAGGGCCATGAGACTTAAACCTGAGTGCAAAAATGGAGGCTCTAGACCCTTCCAGAGCTGAGATATCGAAACTCAAAAATTCGACCCGAAAAAAAAAACGACAGTGGTACCCCTTACGTTTTTTTTTCAGGCGAAAAATTAAGTTTCTCCAATCTTCTCAAAACTCTGGATTCTGATAGAGGGCCATGAGACTTAAACCTGAGTGCAAAAATGGAGGCTCTAGACCCTTCCAGAGCTGAGATATCGAAACTCAAAAATTCGACCCGAAAAAAAACGACAGTGGTACCCCTTACGTTTTTTTTTTTTTGGGCGAAAAATTAAGTTTCTCCAATCTTCTCAAAACTCTGGATTCTGATAGAGGGCCATGAGACTTAGACCTGAGTGCAAAAATGGAGGCTCTAGACCCTTCCAGAGCTGAGATATCGAAACTCAAAATTTCGACCCAAAAAAAAAACGACAGTGGTACCCTTTCGTTTTTTTTTTTTTGGGCGAAAAATTAAGTTTCTCCAATCTTCTCAAAACTCTGGATTCTGATAGAGGGCCATGAGACTTAAACCTGAGTGCAAAAATGGAGGCTCTAGACCCTTCCAGAGCTGAGATATCGAAACTCAAAAATTCGACCCGAAAAAAAAAACGACAGTGGTACCCCTTTGTTTTTTTTTTGGGGCAAAAAATTAAGTTTCTCCAATCTTCTCAAAACTCTGGATTCTGATAGAGGGCCATGAGACTTAAACCTGAGTGCAAAAATGGAGGCTCTAGACCCTTCCAGAGCTGAGATATCGAAACTCAAAAATTCGACCCAAAAAAAAAACGACAGTGGTACCCCTTACGTTTTTTTTTTGGGGCGAAAAATAAGTTTCTCCAATCTTCTCAAAACTCTGGATTCTGATAGAGGGCCATGAGACTTAAACCTGAGTGCAAAAATGGAGGCTCTAGACCCTTCCAGAGCTGAGATATCGAAACTCAAAAATTCGACCCGAAAAAAAAACGACAGTGGTACCCCTTTTGTTTTTTTTTTTTGGGCGAAAAATTAAGTTTCTCCAATCTTCTCAAAACTCTGGATTCTGATAGAGGGCCATGAGACTTAAACCTGAGTGCAAAAATGGAGGCTCTAGACCCTTCCAGAGCTGAGATATCGAAACTCAAAATTTCGACCCGAAAAAAAAACGACAGTGGTACCCCTTTCGTTTTTTTTTTTTGGGCGAAAAATTAAGTTTCTCCAATCTTCTCAAAACTCTGGATTCTGATAGAGGGCCATGAGACTTAAACCTGAGTGCAAAAATGGAGGCTCTAGACCCTTCCAGAGCTGAGATATCGAAACTCAAAAATTCGACCCGAAAAAAAAACGACAGTGGTACCCTTTTCGTTTTTTTTTCGGGCAAAAAAATAAGTTTCTCCAATCTTCTCAAAACTCTGGATTCTGATAGAGGGCCATGAGACTTAAACCTGAGTGCAAAAATGCAGGCTCTAGACCCTTCCAGAGCTGAGATATCGAAACTCAAAACTTCGACCCGAAAAAAAAAACGACAGTGGTACCCCTTTTGTTTTTTTTTTTTGGGCGAAAAATTAAGTTTCTCCAATCTTCTCAAAACTCTGGATTCTGATAGAGGGCCATGAGACTTACACCTGAGTGCAAAAATGGAGGCTCTAGACCCTTCCAGAGCTGAGATATCGAAACTCAAAATTTGACCCGAAAAAAAAACGACAGTGGTACCCCTTTCGTTTTTTTTTTCGGGCGAAAAATTAAGTTTCTCCAATCTTCTCAAAACTCTGGATTCTGATAGAGGGCCATGAGACTTAAACCTGAGTGCAAAAATGGAGGCTCTAGACCCTTCCAGAGCTGAGATATCGAAACTCAAAAATTCGACCCGAAAAAAAAAACGACAGTGGTACCCCTTTTGTTTTTTTTTTCGGGCGAAAAATTAAGTTTCTCCAATCTTCTCAAAACTCTGGATTCTGATAGAGGGCCATGAGACTTAAA